CTTGGACCTAACAACCAAAGACCCTCAAAAAGTGTAAGTGAGGCCACAACTTGGACCTAACTAACCAAAAGACCCCTCAAAAAAAAAAAATTATTGATCCTGTCCCCAAAATTAGGGTTGGTTTTGTCAGCCGAGGCAACAGATTACAGTGTCATGGCTCTAACAAGACAACCGTTACAGTAAACTCTTGCCATTCGCGATTTCAACGATTTCTGTGTAAGCAGATGGTGGCTAGCTTGCAAGCCTTTTCCCGGCACAATGAGTCAGCCCATGCAGCATCTGTGTTGTACTCTCAAACTTTAGTGTTTGTGTGAAAATGGCCCTAAAAGAGTGCCTAGTGTCAGTGTTAGTGATGCTAGTGGGAGAAGTAAGGCAGAAGTCAGTCGACCCTGACAAGAAAGATGAATTATTGGATAAGTTAAAGGAGGGGATGAGTGTCATGAGCTGGTCAGTTGTTTGGTGTAGGTATACAGTCAGTCCCCGACTTACGACTGAGTTAGGGACCGACGACCAGGTCATAAGTCGAAAATGTGAAAATAATACATAGAAAATCTAAAATGGGTGTCTCTTTTTCTTCTCAGCACCACGAGAACTCTCACTTTTAAGCTTGCCAGCCATTTTAAAGGGAATTACAAAAAAAAATTTTGTCAGTACAATACACAGCTCGATCACTAATGCCAATCAAAATAATGTATTTGAAAAATATTTATACGACCGCTGGCGTAGTATGTCGGGTGATCATAAGTGAGGAGTACCTGTACAGTAGTGCACTGAGGTAGTATAAGTTGCTATTCACTGTTGTGCCAATTCGTGCCATATCATGGAACCTATCTTGGAGAATGGCAAGGGTCTACTGTGTTAACTGTTCAGTGTAGATCATCTACACAACCTTACTGTACATGGAGCCAAGTACACCTAATGGTTGAGACTGTTGGGTAGGGTTGGGGTTAAGGTTGGGTTGAGGTTGGGTTAAGGTTGGGTTGAGGTTGGGGTAAGGTTGAGGTTGGGTTAAGGTTGAGGTTGGGTTGAGGTTGGGTTGAGGTTGGTAGGTTGAGGTTGGGTTAAGGTTGAGGTTGGGTTAAGGTTGAGGTTGAGGTGGGTCACAGTAGGAGTGGTGTCCGGACACATACACAATCATCACTGTGTATTACCTACAAAAGACGAATTGAATCACAAGTGTCATCAAACCTGATCCATCGGTCCTCCCACAACTTCATCTCTGACTGCAGCTTCCCAGGGGATGGTCTCACAGCAATGTCCGCCCGGGCCTTGGACATGGAAAGTTAAGGCCGCCAGAGCTTGTTCCAGGAAGCCATGTTGTTCATAAGTCACAGCCTGTAACAAGTCATATAAAAGGATGATTTTTTTTTTTTACGGGTATTAGCCCACCCGGGCACAGGTCACTGACCCACATCAGGGCCTGGGGGACGAAAATGTAATAATAATAATAATAATAATAATAATAATAATAATAATAATAATAATAATAATAATAATAATAATAATAATAATAATAATAATAATAAATAATAGTCATAATAATTCATAATAAATAAAATTATGATAAACAAAATAAAATAATAAAATAATGATGATAATAATACAGTAACTGTAATAATAATAATATTAATAATAAAGAACTATAAATACAAAAATGAAAAAAAGATCAAAAGTGAAAAACGATATATGTACTGTATGTGTGTTGTCAATGGTAAGAGAAACAATTGAGACCCTGCAATTGTGTGTAAATGAAGCAGAAAGTCAGAACAGCAACCTGGGACTTGGTCACAATTTTCGTGAAGCCATATGGCAGCAGGGTTTACCATTAGACAACACATTATGCTTCCAATATCTTCCCAGGCGGTAGTACCTCCCTGTTTGGTAGCTGCCTACTACCTACATAATACATACATACATGTATCTGGTGCAGGTCTCACGCATCTGTACAATATCTATAGTTTGTAATGTTGTGTGTTGAGGCGACCTGAGGCGACCGTTGTGGTCAGATATCGTTACGCACTTTTTTTTTTCATTTTTATTTCTTCTTCCTTTGCCATAAATAATTTACATATTCTTCAATACATTCTAACGAGTTGGCTATGGTACTTATATACAGTATAGAACTTATGTTCAGGTAATATGCATACTGTACAATTTATACACACCGACATCGGGATTGTTGACTGTAATCTTTAGCGATTTGATTTGATGTAAGTAAATAACAGCGACAGACAGTACAAGGAAAATTGTCAATATTATCGATAAGATTATGTAGTATATATTATGTTTACCCATAAATGTTTTATAAAGAAAGTATATAACTACTATAGAGCAGTGAGTTTTAGGCTTGGGTGACCATTAGTGCCCAAATACAGCTCCTCCCCGACATACGAGTGGGTTAGGGACCCAAATCCAGAGTAAATTAAGTCGAAATGGTTAAATAAGTGAAAATGCTTAAATAATCGTAGAAAATCTAAAATGGGTGTCTCTTTTTCTTCTCAGCACCACAAAACTCACTTTTTAAGCATAGCCATTTTAAAGTGAATTACAAACGAAATTTTGTCTGTGTACTGGCGTTGTGACTCGAAATTACAAAATTTGAAAAAATTTTAGTAGCAATGGAGTCGTATGTCTTGGTGGTAGTAAGAGGTAGGTGCAAGTGTGAAGATTGATGCGTAAGTGGGTAGGTAGTAGTCTGCGGGTGGTAAATGAGTGGAGTGGGTAAATGAAGTGGGTAGGTAAATGGTCTGGTGGTGGGGTAAGTGGAGTGGAGTCGCAAAGTCTTGGTCAGTGGGAGTGAAGTGGAGTGGTGCATAGTCTTTGATTAGTGGAGTAAGTGGAGTAGATTAGCAAGTCTAGATTGGTCGATGAAAGTGGAGTGGGTCATGAAGTGCGGTGTGGTGAAATGAAAGTGGAGTAGATGGGTCGAAGTTTTGAATTGAGTGGATTAAGTGTGGAGTAGGTGCAAAGTCTTGGTGGTCGTAAGTGGAGTGGGTCGTAGTCTTGAATTGGTGTAAAGTAAGTGGGTGGAGTGCTGAAGTCTGAGATTGGTCGTGAAAGTGGAGTGGAGTCGTAAGTCTTGGTGGTGAAGTAAGTGGGTAGGTCGTAAGTAGGTAGGTCATGAGGTCTTGATTAAATGGAAGAGTGGATTGAGTAAGTAGAGTGGATGCATGAAGTCTTGAGTTGATTAAGTAAGGGATTGGTGTAAGTCTTGATTGGTCGTGAAGTGGAGTGGGTTAGTGAAGTGCAGGTGGTGGTAAATTAGTGGGTGTAGTAAGTGGGTCAAGTTGAATTAGTGGTCAAGTAGATTGGATTGAGTCTTGATTAGTTGAGTAAGTAGAGTAGGTCGTGTGAGTAGTCTTGAGTTGGTGAAGTAAGTAGATTAGATTAAATGGTAGATTTAGGATTAGTCTTGGTTGGTGCAAGTGAGTGGAGTGGATGGTCATGGTTGGTGGAAAGTGAAATGAGTGGTGTTAATCTTGGGTGGTGCGTGAAGTGGAGTAGATTAATGAGAGTCTTGGTTGGTCAGTAAGTGGAGTGTAAGATGCATGAGGTGGGTTGATTGGTAAGTAGAGTGGGTCGTAAAGTCTTGGTTGATTAAGTGGTAGTGATGATTTGGTTAAATTGAGGTCTGCAGTTGGTGGAGTGAAGTGAATTGGATAGGTAAGTCTTGGATTGATTAAGTGAAGTTAGATTAGATTAGGTAGTCTTGAATTGGGTAGAAGTGGGTAGATTAGGTAGAGATGCGGTTGATTAGGTAGAGTGGAGTGGGTCATGAAGTCTTGGTTGGTGGGGAAGTAGATTTTGGGTCGTCTTGGTTGGTCGTTAAGTGGGGAATTGGAGTCGGTAAGTGGGGTGGGTCGTAAGTAGAGTGGGTAGTGGGTAGGTGGGTGTGGTAAGAGTGGGTGAGAGTCTGGTTGAGTGGGTAAGTGGAGTAGGTAGAAGTGTGATGATTAGGTAAGTGGAGTGGATTAAGCAGAGTCTTGATGGTGGTAAATGGAGTGGAGTGGGTCATGAAGTCTTGGTTGGTCAGTGAAGTAAATTGGGTCAAGCAAGTCTTGGTTGATTGAGTGATTAGATTGATTAGTGAAGTTGCGTTGATTGCGTGAAGTGGGTAGAAGGTAAGTGAGTGAGTTGCTTGAAGTCTTGATTGATTGGAAGTGAAGTGGAGTTAGATTAAGCATGGGTCTTGATTAAGTAGGTAGGGTAGGTTAGAAATTAGAATTGGGTCGTAGTCATGGTGGTGCGTGAAAAAGTGGGTAGATTAGCAAAGTGCAGTTGATTGGAGTGGAATGAAATTGAGTTAAGTGAGAGTTGAATTGGTGAAATTGAATTGGATTAATGCAGGGTCGGAGTTGTTAGGTAAAATTAGGAATTTGGGTCTGCGTGAGTAGAAGTTGATTGGAAGTGAAGTGGAATTGGGTCATTTAGTGAGTGGGTGCAGAGTCTTGGTGGTGTGAAGTAGAGTGGAGTGCAAGTCTGGATTGGTCGTAAGTGGAGTGGGTGCATGAATGTGGTAGTGAAATGAGGTGGAGTGGGTGCATGAAGTCTTGGTCGTGAGTAAGTGGAGTGGGATGAAGTGCGGTTGGTGAAAGTGGAGTGAATTGGGTGTGAAGTCTTGGATTGGTCGTGGTGGAGTGGGTCGTGAGTCTTGGATTGATGCGTAAGTGGGTGGATTAAGTGGTAGATTGGGTGTGAAGTCTTGATTGTAGAAGTAAGTAGATTGGAGGTCGCAAGTCTTGGGTGGGGTCGTGAAATTAAATTGGAGTAAGTAAAGTGGGGATTAGATTAAATTGAAGTGCAGTTGATTAGTAAGTGATGGAGTCGTGAAGTAGAGTGGGTCATGAAGTCTTGATTGGTGCGTGAAGTGGGGAGTGGGTCATGAAGTCTTGATTGATTAAGTGAAGTGGAGTGGAGTGCATGGTCTTGATTGGTCGTGGAGTGGAGTGGGTCATAAGTCTTGGTGTGGTGGTAAGTGGAGTTGGGTCATGAAGTGCGATTGGTTGTGAAGTTGAATTGGGTGTGAAGTGCGGATTGGTCGTGTTGAATTGAATTGGGTCGTGAAGTGGGGTGGGTTATGAAGTCTTGGTTGATTAATTAAGTGGAGTGGGTGCAAGTGCGGGTGGTGTGATAAGTAAGTGGGTCGGTAAAGTGAGTGGGTGGAAATGAAGTCTTTGGTTGGTGTAAGTAGAGTGGGTCGTGAAGTGGAGTGGAGTGCATGAGTCTTGGTTGGTGGTAAGTGAAGTGGAGTCGGCAGAAGTGTGGTGGTCGTGGTAAATTGGGTCGTGTAAGTCTTGGTTGGTGGAAGTGATAGAGTGAGATGAAAGTGGAGTTGGTTGATAAGTCTTGGATTGGATTAAGTGAAAGTGAGTGGGTCATAAGTGAAATTAGATTATGGTCTTGATTGATGAAGTTGATTAGATTCATGAGTCTTGGTTGATTGGTAAGAATTAAGTTAGATTAGGTAAGTGGGTAGATTAGGTATTGAGATGTGATTGGTTAAGTGAAGTGAGTGGGTAGTAGTGGGGTAGATTAAGCAAGTCTTGGTTGATTGGTGAAGTGAGGTGGGTCGTGGAAGAATTGGGTCTGGTAAGTCTTGATTGGTGGTGAAGATTGGGGTGAATTGGAGTGGGTCATGAAGTCTTGGTGGTGTGAAGTAGAGTGGGTCGGAGTAAAGTGGAAGTGGGTCGTGAGGTCTTGATTGGTGGAAGTGAGAAGGGTGGGTCGTGAAAGTGAAATTGGGTCATGGTGTGATTGGTGAAATGAAATGGAGTGGGTCGTGAAGTGGTAGGGGTTGAGTAGTCTTGTTGGTGGGGTAAGTAAGTGGGTGTGAAGTAGAGTGAATTAAGTGAAGTGAGTGGAGTGCATGAAGTCATGGTGCAGTAAGTGGAGTAGATTATGAATTGAGGTATGAAATAGAGTAAGTATAAGTGCAGATGGTCGTAAGTAGAGTGGGTCATAAGTAGAGTGAGGTGCATGAAGTCTTGATTGGTGCGTTAAGTGAAGTAGGTACTTAAGTCTTGTGGTGGTGTGAAATTAGATGTAGATGGTAAAATGAAGTGGAGTGTAGATTAGATGAGTGAAATTAGATTAGGTGAAGTGAAGTAGATTAGGTAAGGTCTTGGATTGGTTAGTGAAGTGAGGTGGGTCGTGAAATTGAGTGGATTCGTGGTGCGAAGATTGGTCGTGAAGTTGGAGTGGGTCGTATAAGTGAAATTAGATTAGTGAAAGGTGATTAAGTGAGTAGTTGATTGGAAGTGAGAGTAGGTAAGATTAGTGGTCTTGGTGGTGGAAATGAAGTGGGTCGTCGTAAGTGGAGTGGGTCGTGAAGTCTT